GCGGAAGACTAGTAGTCTAGACGACAGGCAGCAGCAAAGACAACAAGCTCAGCGACTAAGGCAGACGCAGCAGCAGACTCAAACGACGGGTCAGTGACAACTGTGGCTAGCAGACGCGTGACAGTAGGGTGCTCAGCACGAAACCGGCCAGACTCAGGCTCAGGAACGGTAGGCAGAGAAGACGCAGGAGGGGACGGCAGGGGAACACGCTGCGGAGGAGAGGAAAGACGACGGACTACGAGGTGGGTGTCGGGGACAGTCGGCTGACGCGAACGAGGAACACGACGACCGAAACGACCAGAACCGACAGGCGAGACAGGACGTGACGCAGGCTCACGACGCTCAGTAAGACCCCCTGTCTGCTCAGTGTAAGTAGAAGGAGCAGGAAGTGGTGAGCCAGGCTGTAACGGAAGACCAGTAGACGAAGGGAGACTAAGAACTTGGCGAAGCACAGAGTCAGACGGGACGACGGAGACGGTGGAGCAAAGAACAGGCGCGGCTGTGCAATGCCACCAGCACCAGCAGCTCCAGCACCTCCAGCAGCTCCAGGACCTCCAGCAGCTCCAGAACCCTCAGCGCCAGCTCCTCCAGGACCAGCTCCACCAGCAGCAGCACCCCCAGAACCGGCACCTCCAGTCCCAGGGTCTCCAGCCTCAGTGTCTCCAGCAGCAGCACCCTGAGGCTCAGCACCTCCAGCCCCAGCAGCTCCAGTACCTCCAGTACGAGCACCTCCGGGACCAGCACCACTCCCAGCACCAGTGACGTCAGCAGAAGTACCTCCAGCGGCAGAGCCCCGAGCTCCAGAAGCGCGACCCTGATGGCGACCGTACCAGTCGTGCAGCTGCTGTGAGGTGAGAGGCAAACGCGGACGAAGGCGGCTACTCCAAGGAAACCGCGCAACAGCAGACTCAGAACCCTCAGCGCCAGCACCCGCAGCAGCTCCAGAACCTCCAGCGCCAGCACCCTCAGCAGCTCTAGAACCTCCAGCTCCAGCGCCACCAGCGCCAGCACCTCCAGCAGCTCCAGAACCTCCAGCTCCAGCACCCTCAGCAGCTCCAGAACCTCCAGCTCCAGCGCCAGCAGTGCCAGCACCTCTAGCAGCTCCAGAACCTCCAGCTCCAGCACCCTCAGCAGCTCCAGAACCTCCAGCAGAAACAACTCCAGTAGTAGAGTCACCAGCTCCAGCGCCTCCCGCAGCAGGGCCCCTAGCTCCAGCAGCGCGACCCTGACGGCCAACGTACCACTCAAGCAGCTGCTGTGGGGAGAGAGGGAGACGACAACGAGAGTGCAGCAGCGAGGCACCAGCGGAGCGACTACGGAGACGGCCGCTCCAGGGAGACTGCTCACCAGACGCCTCAGCGCCCCCGGGTGCAGCACCCCCAGACTCAGTACCCCCAGGCTCAGCACCCCCAGACTCCTCACGCCCAGGCTCAGTACCTCCAGTCTCCGCACCCCCAGGCTCCGCACCCCCAGGCTCCGCACCTCCAGGCTCCGCACCCCCAGGCTCAGCACCCCAAGGCTCCGCACCCCCAGGCTCAGCACCCCCAGCAGCAGCACCCCGAGCAGGACCACCCTCAGCAGGACCTGAGTCACCAGTGACCTCAACCGGCTCAGTCAAGGGAGGAGGGTCTACCTGAGACACACCTGAAGGAGCAGGACCGGGAGCAGGGAGGGGGTCTACCTGGGGAGCACCTGGAGCAAGGAAGAGCGGCGGGGGGGGGAGAGGGGCAGTGCGGTAGGGGAAGAGACGGTAAAAGGGAACCGACTCGTCGAACGTGACGTCCTGAGAGGGGAAGACACGGCGCGAGGTGGGGTGGTAAAACTGCCACCCAGGCGCGTCAGGGACAAAGCCAAGGAAGACACAGGGAACAGCGCGGGCGGAGAGCTTGTCCGCGGTGGTATCGCGGACAAAGGCACGAGCACCCCAGACCCGGAAACGCGACGCATCGCCAACCTTCCCCGTCCACAGCAGTGTGGGCGAGGTCTCCGGCAAGGAGACACAGGGCCAGAGGTTGAGCTGATGCGCGGCGTACCGGACCGCAAACGGCCACAGAAAATGGGGGGCAGCCGCATGGATCATGGAGGTACGAGCGACCTCCATGACTAAGCCAATGCGGCGCTCAGCAACCCCATTCTGCTGCGGAGAGGCCGGAAGCGTGAACGTCTGGCGGATGCCGTGCTCCGCACAGTAGGCTGCCAAGAGGTCTGAGGAGAACTCACCACCTCTGTCAGAGTGCAGACGCAGGACAGGAAAGTCCGACCGGAACTGCTCGCGGAGCTGGAGACGAACAGCGCGGATCCAGGGGATCAAAACATCAGGGACCTCCCCCTTGCTGCGCAAGGGGAAGACCGTGGTGTAACGCGTGTAGTCGTCGACGACCAGCAGGAAGTACCGCTCGTGGCCCTGTCCACGGACGCGGGCTGGGCCCCACACGTCCAGGTGGAGAGTCTGCAGGGGAGCCTCTGTGGGAGGGAACGAGGAGGAGTGAGGAGCGGCGCGCTGCCGCCCCTCGACACAGGGAAGACAGGGGGGAGCAGGCGAGGGTGGTAGAGGAGGCAGAGTCTCTGGAAGTCCAGAGACAAGGAAACGGCGGTGCATGCTACGAAGGCGCTGCACCGAGGGGTGACCAAGGCGGTGGTGCCAAAGGAGGGTCTGGTGCGACAAAGCGCGACACGAGCAGGGGGCCGCTAGCTGACCGGACGCAAACGCAGACGCAGACGCAGCTACCTGAGGGGACACAGTGGTCAGTGTGTACAGGCTCGAGCCAGGCGCTCGGGTGAACGTGGCCAGGTGCCAACCAGTCCGGGAGCACGTACAGTGGGTCACACGCTGACCTCCAGGGTTGAACTGGTCAACCCACACATCCTGTAGGTCAGCTCCACTCACCAAGTTCGTAGAGAACGAGGGGAGGTGAAGACCTGACAGGGAGCCAGACGGGACCGCCGGACACGGCAGGACCGTGGAGGAGTGCGCAAGGACTGGACCCCCAGAGGGGTCTGCCAGGGAGACTGCAACCGGCCGACGGAGCGGCGTGAGGGTGGTGCTGTCGCGAAAGAAGGAGCGGGAAGCACCTGAGTCAAGTGTGAAGGTGTACAAGGCCTCAGCAGGCACAGTACCAGAGAGAGCAGACTCACCAGCACCTGGAGCAGCAGCCTCACCAGTACCTAGAGCAGGAGACGCACTAGCACCTAGAGCAGCAGCCTCACCAGCACCTAGAGCAGCAGGCTCTATACCTGGGTCAGGCGGTACGCACAAGGAACAGGCACGGTCAGCACTAGTAGGCAATGCATACATGGCAGTGAGAATAGCATCATAGTCAAGAGCAAAGATATCTACCCTCTGTCCAAGCAGCTCCAGCCAGGTGGGGAGCTCAGCCTCGTCGCCAAACTCGGTACGCCAGGCGTCGCTCAGACGGGCGAAGCAGCGAGACTGTGTGTGACCAGGCGTCCCGCAAGCCTGACCGGCCCGATCACCTGTGCGAATGACGTACGGGCAGCGAACGGTACTCAAAGACCCTCTACTCTGAGCGTACCACTCGTAAAGCTGCTGGGACGTAAGTGTCTCGCGTGGACGCCGCTGCAGCTGCAGCTGGCCACTGCCAGACGCTCCCAACTGACCAGCTCCAGGGCGACAGCTACGACGGCGACCGCCACAACCCCAACTAGCGTACCACTCACTAAGCTGCTGGGGCGTGAGAGACTCGCGTGAACGTCGCTGGAGCTGCATCTGGCCACCGCCAGTAGCAGCAGTAGCAGTAGTAGCAGCAGCAGCAGCAGCAGCAGCAGCAGCCTAGCAGTAGTAGTAGCGCGGGCAGGGCAGGCGCGGCAGGCAGGCAGGCAGGCAGGCGTGGCAGGCAGGCAGGCAGGCAGGCAGGTAGGCAGGTGCTCACCAGTGGCGGGAAGGGCAGGCGCACGACGGCGGCGACGGCGGGGCCGCGACAGCTGCGGCAGAGCAGGACCGCGTCGGAGGTAGGGCAGGTCCGCGACAGTTGCTGCAGGGCGGGGACGTGACGGCGGCAGAAGGCTCCGCGGCAGCTGCTGCAGGGTAGGGCCTCGACGGCGGCAGGAGGCTCCGCGGCAGCTGCTGCAGGGCGGGGCCGCGACCGCGGCAGAAGGCTCCGCGGCAGCCGCGGCAGTTGCTGCAGGGCAGGGCCGCGACGGCGGCAGAAGGCTCCGCAGCAGCTGCTGCAGGGCGGGGCCGCGACTGTGGCAGGGCGCTCCGCGGCAGCTGCTGCAGGAGCGACGGCGGCGTCCAGGGGCAGCCGCGGCGCGCGGGGCTGCAGCGCGCTACGCGAGCTGCGGACGCGGCGCGCGAAGCCGCCGCGGGCTGCGCGAGGACGGCAGCCGCGGCGCGCGGGGCTGCAGCGCGACGCGCGGGCAGCAAACGCGACGCGCGGGGCTGCAGCGCGACGCGCGGGCTGCGGACGCGGCGCGCGAAGCCGCCGCGGGCTGCGCGAGGACGGCAGCCGCGACGCGCGGGGCTGCAGCGCGACGCGCGGGCTGTGTGCGCGACGCGCGGGGGAGCGGCCTGGCCTGGCGCGTCAGCGACCTGGCGGGGCGGCGCTCTGGCCTGACGGGCCTGCAGGGGCGGCTCGCAGGCCTGACGTATCTGCAGGGGCGGCGCGTGGGCCTTACGGGCCTGCAGGGGCGGCGTTCTGGCCTAGGGCAGCAGTAGGCAGCACGAGGGCTGCAGGACGGCGCGCGCAGCGCAGCACGTCTCAAGGCAAGGCAGGCAGGCAGGCAGGCGCAGGACAACACGTGGGGTAGCGCGGTAACCGCAACGGTAGGTGGGCCCGAAAAAAAAAACGGTCCTAGGGACCTAGTGCTCTGAAACCATGTCAGAATCCAGCAAAAGGAGTGAATGAACTATCAAAGAGTTGGGTACAAGTATGAAACCCTATAAGGGGCTGTACCCCATATTGGCTACCCCACTACAGCCTACACATATATAACATGCATATACTTTGACAAGCCGTGCAGTTTTTGGCAGGCGTGGGGCGTTAGAGCAGGAGGGCCCACGCGGTGGGCAAGGAGACGGACCTTGTGGTCAAATCCAGTGACGTGCAAGGAGCCGCACAAGGATTCAACCCAGCACTAACAGAAGCATTCGCGGCCTTGTGGTCGAATCCAGTGACGTGCTTCGACTTGACACAGTTGAGAAGGGGAAGAGAGATGGGGGGGGACATAGAGCACGTACGAGCGGAGGGGTCAAAGAGATGCAAGCGGGAGGTGTCCCCAGCAAAGTCCTTGGTGGCGTGCAGCAGGTAGGTGCCGATGCGGATGGTGAGGAAGCGAGAGCATACGGGAGAGAAGGGGAAGAGAGAGAACACGGCAGAGGAGGGAAAGACGTGCACGTATGGGCAGAAGGGTCGAAGAGGTGTAAGCGGGAGGAGTCCCCAGCAAAGTCCTTGGTGGCATGCAGCAGGTAGGTGCCGATGAGGATGGTGAGGAAGCCGCAGAGCTCCATGAGCACCTGCTCCCCCGTCTGCCCCGCCCAGGCCTTGTACATTATGACCGACGCCACTATGGTGAGTGTGGTGAACATGACGTAGTAGATGGGCGTCACCACTGCCGTGTTGAATGTGTCTAGGGACTGGTAAGGGCGGCGAGGGGGAGGGGAAGGGAGAGAGATGAGAGGCAAAGACTTGAGGCATCCGACGAAGGTGAGTGTGGTGAACATGAAGTAGTAGATGGGCGTCACCACTGCCGTGTTGAATGTGTACAGCGACTGGGATGGGGAGAAGGGGAGAGGGAGGGCAATGCGGAGGACAGGAGAAGGCGAGAGGAACTGAAGCATCACACGAAGGTCAGTGTGGTGACGATGAAATGCAATGGCGTCACACTGGAGTGTTGCAAACTGTACGGTGAGAACCAGCTCTGGTCCCTGGCAGGGCTGAGCAGTCAGCACACACACCTTGTTGAGGTAGTTCGAATCCAGGGTTCGGGCATTCATTGCACGCACCTTGTCGAGGTAGTTAATTTGTGTGACGGCGCAGGCTGCGAGGGCGACGGCAAAGAAGGCGGTTTCCGGGTAGAAGAGCTGGTTGTCTCCGTACAGGGCCAGCTTCACCGTATGTTTTTTGAAAATTCTCAAAAAACATATGGAGTAGAAGAGCTGGTTGTCTCCGTATAGGGCCTGCTTCACCACGTGTGCAGTATTGAACACTTTACGATGGCAACCAGTTCTAGTAGCTGACCGTGCAGTCTACGCACACACCTTGTTGAGGTAGTTGATTTGCGTGAAAGCACAGGCGGCGAGGGCAAGCTGACTTGTGAGTCGAGGCGCACACACCTTGTTGAGGTAGTTGATTTGTGTGACGGCACAGGCGGCGAGGGCGACAGCAAAGAAGGTGGTTTCCGGGTAGAAGAGCTGGTTGTCGCCGTACAGGGTCAGCTTCACGGCAATCCCTAGGGCCTTGCAGCTCGCCACCTGGCGGCACTCGCAGGAACACACAGAGGGGCACACGCAGGAACATGCAGCAGTGGCGGCACACATGGCATAAGATGCTGACAAGAGTGAGAGGTTGACAATTTAGGCCATGCCATGCTGTCATGTTCTGTGGAAGAAGGTAGTGTCGCAACTGGCACATCGGGAGAGCAGGGCGTGCACGTCCTCGTGCATGTGTGTTGGTCGGTCGCCCCTTCTGCATCTCACAGCTTTCGCCATCACCTTCCACGCCTCTCGCCGTAGCAGCCGTTCACAGCACCTTCAGCCATGCACCAAGCAGCACCAACGGCAGTGCTAGCGGCAGCAGTGGCAGAAGAAACAGCAGCAGCAGCGGCGGCGGGGGCATGAGCAGCAGCAGCAGTGGCAGAAATGGTGGGGGCAGCAGCAGTAGTGAAGGCAGCATAGATGTGCGAATAGATGCAGTGGTGTCATTCTCCCTGGCCGGTGCTCAAAGCACTGCCACACGAGCAGGAAGTGTGGCCACGCACACGGCCCATGGGGTGGAATCAGGCCCTCTTGTGTTCGTGTACCACGTGAACCTCTGCCTCCCCACGCACTCCCTACTGCACGCCGCACAGCAGCTGGCCAAGGGGAGCACGGAGAATGACAAGCCGGTAGCAGAGGCAGAGGTAGAGGCAGAGGGTGAACCCCCTGAGGCAGAGGCAGAGACAGAGGCAGAGGCAGAGGCAGAGGCAGAGGCAGAGGGTGACCCTCTTGAGCCACCCTCCCGCATTGACGTGCAGGTCACTCCACCGCCTCTTGCCAGCCCCGTGCCCTTCGCTCGGGGCTCAATGCCAGCTGTCAGCATGGCATTGGCAGCGGGGAAGCAGGTAGCGGGAGGGGGCAGAGAGGGCGAGGAGGGGAAAGCGCGGGTGCTGCTGCAGCACACAGACGCCTTCTGCTGGAACTCCTTTGCGCGCCATGACACGCCACTGGGCTCCCCTCAGGTGTGTGCTTCTTGGGGGAAATGGTGGTGGTGAGGGGGGATTGGGGCATGATGGCAGGAGCATGATGGGAGGGGGAGGAGAGGGAGGCGTAGGAGGCGGGAGTGCGCGTGCTGCTGCTGCACACAGATGCCTTCTGCTGGAACTCCTTCACGCGCCACGACACTCCTCTCGGCTCCCCTCATGTGCTTGTTTTGTTCTTCTCCTCACCCGTCCTTCTCCTCACCCGTTCTTCTCCTCACCCGTCCTTCTCCTCACGCGTCCTTCTCCTCACCCGTCCACTCCCACCAATGCCAACCCCCCATGGTCATCCCCATTGTCATCCCCATTCAAACCCGCATTCGCAACCCCATCCCTACACCCACCCCCCCACAGGTGTGTGACCTGCCGCGCACCATATTCGGGGCGTCTCAACCAGGCATTCTCGCCTACACCTACGGCCGCCTCTCCACCCTCCACTCCCGCCTCTCTGCCGCCCATGCCTCCTCCATCTCCTCACCATCCACCACAAGCACCGGCGCACCGCCATGGAACGCCATGGTGGCATCGGCGTGTGACAGCGCTCTCCTCCACGGCATGTACGACCAGGGCGTGGGCGCTCCCGATGCCGCCCTGCTGCTGCTCCCCCGTGCCAGCACCCGCACCCGCCACGTTGGAGAGAGGACGGCAGGGGAGGAGAAGGAGGGGGGGGGGGAGGATGGGGAGGTGGAGGAGGGGGAGGAGGAGGAAGAGGAGGGGGAGGTGGTGGCAGTGGCGGTGGCGGTGCACAAGGGGCTGGCGAGAGGGGGGCTGAACAACTGTGGAGACCCCCTACCTGCACCGGGACTGGTGCTAGATGTGTGGGACATGCCGCCGCTGCTTTACTGACAGCAAAATCTGAGTCGCTTTTGAGAATTCTCAAAAGGGCTGGCGAGAGGGGCCCCCTACAACTGTGGAGTGGAGTGTCAAATGTTAATGTTATGATAGGCTGCAGTGAGGTACTCCCTAGAGAGTATAGCTTTTGTAGGATTCCTATTTGTACCCTTGCAAACCCTAATTCCACTCATTCCGTTGCATTCTACTCTTGAGATGGTATCATAGTAGGTTCGAGTTCCTTAGCCCTAGCCTAGCCCTAGCCTAGCCCTAGCGCCCTCCGCGCCCACGCGCCCTCCGCGTCTTAGCGCCCTCCGCGCCTTAGCGCCCTCCGTGCCCTCCGTGCCCTCCGCGCCCTCCGCACGTTCGTGCCCTCCGCGCCCTCCGCACGTTAGTGCCCTCCGCGCCCTCCGCGCCCTCAACGCACGCCTAGCCCGGCCCCTCCCACTGTCGCGCCCTCCCCCTGCCCGTCGCGTCGCCCCCCCCTCCCCTTCCCCTGCCCGTCGCGTCGCCTCCTCTCCCCCTGCCCGTCGCGTTGCCTCCCCTCCTCCTGCCCGTCGCGTTCGCCTCCCCTTCCCCTGCCCGTCCCGTCGCCTCCCTTCCCCCTGCCCGTCGCGTCGCCTCCCCTCCTCCTGCCCGTCGCGTTCGCCTCCCCTTCCCCTGCCCGTCGCGTCGCCTCCCTTCCCCCTGCCCGTCGCGTTCGCCTCCCCTTCCCCTGCCCCCTCCTCCTGCCCGTCGCGTTCGCCTCCCCTTCCCCTGCCCGTCGCGTCGCCTCCCTTTCCCCTGCCCGTCGCGTCGCCCTCCCATCCCCGCCCCTGTCCTACCGTCGCGCCCTCCTCCCCGCCCCTTCTCACCGTCGCGCCCTCCTCCCCACCCCTTCCTACCGTCACGCACCCTCCTCCCCGCCCTCTCCTAACGTCGTGCGCCCTCCCCCCGAGCCCACCGTGCCCTCGCCCTCACCTAGGCTCGCGCCTCCGCGTTAGCCCGTTCCCACCCGCGATTGGCACGCGCCCGAACCCCACTACCGCCCTGCGCGCGGGGCCCTAGACAACTCTTTTGCCATTGGTCTCGCCCTCAGCGGCTGGCAGCCGCTTTCTTTCGCCGGCCACCTAGGGTAGACCCGTGTTCCTGCTAGTTCCTCGCCCCTAGTGCATGTAGCTGGAGTTCCGCCGTTTCACGCCTAGACTAGGTCCCTCCGTGCTCCTAGCCTCTAGCTCCGCCGGTCTCACACCGCGCCACACCTGGCGCTCCTAGGCTTCCCTCCTCGTTCTTAGCTCCGCCTCCGCCGAGCTCCGGCTGCCTCTAGCATGGCATCCGTTATGGAGTCCCGTCGCCTTCGTTTCGATGCGGAGGGACGCCCGATAGAGTTCGGTACCTGGCAGCGCCAGACCACGCGTTTCCTTACCAGCCAGCGTCAGGACGGCGCCACTCTGTGGGCCCACGCGTCTGGTGCCCTCAAGGCCCCCCCGTCCCCCGCCGCCCTCCTGACCGCCTCGGAGCCGACTCCTACGGCCCAGGCAGACTACGAGCGTCGGGTCCTGGCACGGGACGTGTGGCTCTCTCGTGACGCTGCCGCCGCTCTCACGCTGTCGGAGCTTCTCCCCCCGACTGAGGCCGCCCACTTTGACAAGGTGGAGACAGCACAGGGGGTTTGGGATGCTATTGTTGCCCACTATTCCACCCCCTCCTCCGCCTCCCTCAGTCGCCTCCTCATGCCGTTCGTGTTTCCCGACCTAGGCTCGTTTGCGACTGTTTCCGACCTAGTGACTCACCTCCGCTCGCTTGACGCCGGTTTTCGTTCGGCCTGTACCGACGCACAGCTCCTTGTTGCTCCCCCCCCCATGTGGCTCACTGTGCACTGGTTAGTCACCCGCCTCCCTGACCGTCTTGCCACTGCCCGTGACGCGCTTCTTCAGAAGCACCCCACTGAACTCACTATAGACCTCCTTCAGACTGCTCTCGGGACCATCGAGAGCAGCCTCCTCACCGTTGCCTCCGCCACTGATGCGGTGGCCCCCCGTCTCTTTGCGGGGTGTGCCGCCCCTCAGCTTCCCACTTTCACCGCTACCCGCGCCTCTGCTGCTGTGTCGGTCTCTGAGGACACCGCTGCCGTTTCTGCCGCAGACTGGCAGAAACGAGGGAAGAGTGGCAAGAAGGGCGGGAAGGGGGGGGGTGGGGGCGGAGGAGGCGGCGGTGGAGGGGGCGGTGGAGGTGGGAGCAGCGGTGGTGGCGGAGGCGGCGGCGGTGGCGGCGGCGGTGGTGCACCAGGGGGAGGGGGCCTTGGAGGAGGTGCAGGACAGACAGGTCCACCCACAGGTGGTGGCCCGACCGGTGGGGGTGTTGCTCCCCAGCAGCAGCAGCCACAGCAGCACCAGCCACAGCAGGGACAGCAGCAGCAGCAAGGACAGCAGCAGCAGCAGGCACCGAAGCAGTTCCAGCAGTGGGGGCCCCCGCTGCAGTGGGGTCCGCAGCAGCACTGGGGTCCCCCGCCGCAGTGGGGTCCGGGAGGCCCTGGGAGCACCGGCCGCAGCAGCAGCTCTACCAGCTGGGCCCCTCGCCCCCCTCGCCGTGACGCTGGCCCCTGCACCCACTGGTGCCTCACCGGGCCGGGCAGCCCCTGTTTCTGTGGTCGCGACGACCACTCTGCTGCGCGGTGCTTCCGCCGCCTCGACGACCTCTACCGGGCTCGTTGGGGCCCTCTGGCGGTCA